AACCCACTTAGCAGCCCTAAACTCATACAAGTAAACCTGAGGAGCAAAAAAACAAAACAAAACAAAAAAAAACCCTACTATTATTACTATTGTGGCAAGGCAATAGTTCAGGCTGGCCTGGAACTCAAAATTCTCTTGCCCCAACCTCCTGCTTGCTGAGCTTACAGGCAAGCTAAATGACTATTATCTCTTTAGGTCCTTGGCTTGGCAACAAACTTTATCACATGCTCATTTAAACAGAACACCACTGAGGACACTGTGAGGACGGTGTGCTTGGTCCCAAAGGCCTGTACTTGTATAGGAGGTTCCTGGAATATACCTGCCTGAAAGGAAATTTCACCCACACCTTTCTGTGGGAGGGGGCAATGCAAGCTGTGTGGCCTACAAGAGAAGTTTCCCAGGGACTGTGGCCCGGTCGCTGCCTCGGCACTGGCACGCTGCTTCTTGGCATGTCCACTTCACCACAGAAGTCCATCACTTGGCTCTGCAGTCAAGCTAATTGAGTTGTGCCACCATCAGTTTCTTAGTTCTGATCACATACCTGAGCTGTTCCACTGGAGGCAGCTCAGAGAGGGTGGGAAGTGACCTAATCTCACCTTTAATGGGTGGGCATACAGCTGTGTGCTCTGTAATACACTGGAGAAGGGATGGGGGTGTAGTAACTTAAGTGCTTTTGCAAGAAATCACGAATATATAGTTATTTCAAAATTTGAAGTTTCAAATAGGCACCAGTGGCTCACATATATAATCCTGGCTATTCAGGAGACTGAGATCTGAGAATCGCGTTTCAAAGCCAGCCCGGGCAGGAAAGTCTGTAAGACTCTCATCTCCAATTAACCATCCCAAAATTGCCAGGGTAATTTGATCAATATTTTTTTCTTTTTACACAAAAGCTCAGGGATAGTTCCCAAGCCCTAAGTTCAAGCAAAAGAGTTTAAAGTAAAAACATGCTGGGGCTGAGAATGTAGCTTAGTGGTAGAGTGCTTGCCTAGCATGCATGAAGCCCTGGGTTTGATTCCTCAGTACTACATAAACAGAAAAGGCCAGAAGTTGCACTGTGGCAAGTTGTAGAGTGCTAGCCTTGAGCAAAAGAAGCCTAGGCCCCGAGTTTAAGCCCCAAGACTGACAAAAAACCAAAACAAACAAAAACCAACATGCTGGAGGGCTGGGATATAACTCAGTGGCAAAGTGCTTGCCTAACAAGCAAGTACAACATCCTGGGTTTGATCCTCAGTACTAAAAAAGAAAAGATGAAAAATAAATAGTTTAAAAATTCTATGACTTAGGAAAACAAATAGCCAGTCTTGTGAGGTTCCCAATTAAAGGACAATAATACTCAGAAAGCTCTTGGGGGAGATCTGATTGTCATATAAAATTATAATGCAAAAAGATGAATTATCCAGTGTCAATAACCTCTGCTACTCAATGGAATTGGGAGAGCCCTGGCAGGTAGGTGGTGTGTGTGTGTGTGTGTGTGTAAGATGAACAGTGAAGGTCAGGCCAAGTTCCAGTTCCATGTTCCACAGGACACAAAGGAGAAGTAGTGATTCTGCCATTCAATGCCTAGTGCTGACGGAAAGTGAGCTGCCCCTCCCAGACTGGGGCCGCTGCCCCGCAGCCAGAGGGGAGGGAAGGAGGGTGGAGAGCTCACACAAGGCCAGACACATAATAGCAGGATCAAGTCCTGACACAGCCCTACCAGGCCTCCAGCCCATGACAGAAAGGCGAGCGAGGGAGACAGAACGACTCAGAGACACGCATGCTAAGTTCAGCCATAGAGATGGCTGTGTCGAACTCTCATAAGGTGGGATGGTCTGGAGGCATAAGCCTGAGACAGCCAGGACTGTTCCCCTGGCACCCCACTTCTGAGGTGGCCAGGCCCAGGAGTGACTCCTTCCTGCCCCAAATCCACATGGGATACCAGACATGCCTGCCCCACATGGGCTCCAAGCCATCTCCTCATCTTTCCCATAGACAGGTCTTACAGAGCTCAAATAATCCTCCTGAGTGCTGAGGTTACAGGCATATACCACTGTGCCTGTCAGGCTAAGTCTAAAGGCTACTTTGTTCAGTCATCGAGATGGGACCTAGGATTCGGGGGGGGGGGAGCTAAGTAAGTGCTCAACCCCTAAGCTAGGGTTGCTAGCCTGAGTCTAGACTTAGCTAACCCCCCATCTCTGCCTGCTTTGTCCCTGGGCCTGGCCTCCCTGCTTTCTGGTGTGGGAACTTCACAGAAGAACACAGCTTGCAATGTTACTTGTAGACAATCCTTGTCTCTAAGACTCTAGGACATGCCATACTCCCCACTGCCCTTCTCTGATACCCTGTGCTCTGGGGACTCCCTCTATCCAGATACTGTGAATCCCCATGTCTACCCATCCTGGCCTGGTTCTGACTGGGCTGGGTTATTTTACCATGATCCTTTTCCTTTTTCTCCAGGCTGAGGAGGAGGCAGAGTATGAAGGGGCTAAGGAAGCTTCCAGTAAGCAAGAGGAAGCTAGGAATAGAGAGTCTGCGCTGGACAAAGGCCTCCAATGCCCTTTCTGAAGTTCTGGGGAGTAAGTGAGCAAGGGCAGGGGAAGGGAGGAAGGTCAGTGAAAGGATTTCAGAGAAAGCAAAGCCAGGAAAAGGGGGATTCTTCCTTAGTGGGTGTCTTGAGTCAGCCTCAATCCTCTTCACAATGTCCTACGCTATGCATGGCCACATTTATATGGGGGTCAGTGTCTATGGCTGGACTCTTCCCAGTAGGTGGAGACAGGTGACTTCGTTAATCAATAGTGGCCATGGGTTGACAATGAGCGAGACAGAGCTCAGCATGGATTCTCTCCTCACAGGAGTCTGGTAAGATGAAACTGAGCTGCAGATCAGGTCTCAGCACTGTGGCAGCTGCTTAGTTATCATCCTCTGTGGCAGCTGACAAGTGGTGGGGGCCTGGGAGGGAGAGCCCCCAGTCTGGAGGCAGGACTAAGAGTCTGCTGATGGCTGCACTCCCTGTTATTAGCATCCCTTAACCTGAATTCCTGAGTTCAAGCCCATTCAAGTGCTGGCACAAAAACAAAAACAGTCTCATCTCACCATGCCATCTTCCAGATGAGGAAACTGAGGTGCAGAAAGTCAATAGGGGTGGTAACTGACAGAGCCAGGTTTTCCAGGAGTATGTGCAGGTAGTCTGATGTGGAGATATGGAGTAGAGTGGCAGCATGCCCAAGCCATGCCCTACAGCCCACCCTTCAATCCTACCCACCTTCAGCTCTAAACCCTTGGAGGCTGCAGCTGCCATCTTCAGCATATAGTGTGTTCTCTGCTCTCAACACTTTGTGCAGTCACACTAGGAACCGCATGGACACAGTAGAGAGGGCTAGGTCCTGCTTTAAACTGTTCTGATCCTAGTCTTGTCTCTCACTACCTTGAGGTTCCTTAAATGAAGATCTGATCCCAACCAGCCAAACCACCAGCTCCATCAACCTAGTTCAGCAGAGCTTTTCCTAAACATGGCTGACTGGATGATAAGGAGGGTTTTCCTTGCAGCATTGGCCAAGGAAGAAGAGGAAGAGATAGCTGTCCTTCCATAGGCCCAGGGCCAAGTCTTCTACCCAGGGCAGGGCTCCTCGCTGGCCTCATGCTCCCCTGGGGCATCTGGGCCCACAGCATCCCAAGTGCTGTTGGAGGAACATCTAAGGTCTTGCCCAAACAATAGGGTCTGATGGTTCTTCCTGAGATCTGATTACTTCTCTGCTCCTCTAGCAAAAGATGAGGACAGGGGCCCCTCTGTACCTTTGCCACTTGCAGCTATTATGTAGAGGGTGTGTGAGCAACGCCCTGTGAATTAGAGCCGCTCTGAGCAAGGTGCTCCAATCTGTTCTTAGGTCAACAGGTAGGTACTGGCTGGCCAGCAGTGTGGCTGAGACTCAGGGTCCAACTGACTGCTGTGTCCTAGAGGCTGACCTGCGGGAGTCCAGGGGGAGCACCGACCCAGGGGAAAGTGCACTGTGGAGGAGCTTCTCTTGAAACTGGCAGATCCAGTGGCTTGGCCAGGGAAGGAACCAGGAACTCCAGGGAAAGTACTGCATACAATGTTCAGGGCAGAGCCCAAGTGTGGGGCTGGAGACCTCGGTTCATCATTTGGGTGCTGGTCCTGGGGCTTGAACTCAGGATTTACCCTGAGTTACCCTAAGTTGCACTTAGCTTTTTCACACAAGGCTGGCACTCTACCATTTAAACCACACCTTCAGTTGGTTTTTTTTACCTGGTTAACTGCAGGTAAGATTCTCTCAGACTTTTCTGCCCAGGTTGGCTTCAAATCTTGATCCCTAGGTCTCTCCCTCAGGCACCAGTCACCAGGGCCCAACTCACAGCAGATATTTAACCTCTCTGAACTCTACCATCTCCATCCCTTGGGGGAAAATGATGGTACACACCTCAGCAGGATGATTTGCACATGATAGCATACCAAGAAGCACTTGGTAATTGCTACAGATTTTTACACAAACTTATGACAGGCATCCTTGCAAATAGCAGGTCACAAGGCCCTGAGGTCAACTCTAGAAAAAGACTCTGAAATGGTGTCCTGGTCTTTACAGCCAGGCAGAGCTGGTTCAAACCCTGTCTCTGCCAGATCCCAGGCAGATCCAGAGGCAGCAAGCCTGTGGGAGTTAAGACCCAGGGTGTGAACTCCATCTGAGGGAGGCAGCAGCATTTACTGGTGACCCTTTGCTCTTTCCTGGAAGAACCCAGTCTCTCAATGCCTTTGGTGAAAACAAAACCAAGTCCAAGAGCCTGAGAAACTCTTCCAAGGCTACAAGCTAGCAGAGATGGCTCTGAAATGGCCAGAGAAGCCACTTGGAGGATAGTGGCCTTCTAAACCAGGGGCTTCTAGATCCCTAGGGCGTCGTTAATAAGCAGATTTCTAGGCCCAATCCATGTGGCATTTCCAGTTTAGCAGCTAGCCTCTTCTGGATCCTTCTCCAGGTTACCCCAACCCTCAGTCCCCACCCCTTAACTTACCTGGGAGGAAGGGGATAATCCTCTGCTTGGGATCTTTCTGGCCACCTTCAATGGGAAACTTATCCAGAAGCTGCATCTGAGGAGCCAACAGACAGAGGAGACAAGTTTCAGAGATGGGAACAGCCTTGGGCGTCTCTCCTGCCCCACTCCTCGGCCCATTGTGCTCCTGAGATGACTGACATCTGAAATCACTCGTTTCACAGATGATTAACAACCCTACAGGGGCCATGACTGGGAGGAGGACAGAACTCCTGTGCATCAAAGATGGTAGGAACCATCTCGGCAAGGGGGAAGACTCTAGAGATGCCCTGAAGGCCAGACCTGCGACCAACAGGACTTCAGACCCAGGCTGAGGCTTCTAGATGAGACTGTGGACCCACATCTTTTATATTTCATCTGCATAGTGAATCCTTCAGCCACCCGCCATCCCAAAGCCTCCTAGGGGAGAAGAGAGGAAGGCCCCACCTGATCCTGCAGACAGACCACCCACTTTCTAGAACTCCTCTGCAGAAACAGACCCAGATGTTATTTTAATTGCAAAACCAAATTGATCTCACGGGCCTTCTGCTAGCAGCCCTGTCCCTCGGCTTCATCTTCTCCCTCCCTGAGATCACTACTGTTTTTCCAGGGACAGACGTTTCCACGATTCTAAAGGAATAGCTGGTTGTTGTGTTGCGTTGTGTTTTTTTCTTTTGCTATTCTATGCTGGAACTCTGAGTAAACTGGAAAAACAGACAAGAGGCAGGGCCCCTGGGTGTGACAGATGTCTCTCCCCAAGCCAGGCAAGTGCTGCAGTGCAGGGCCGATAGCCATGATCTTATCTCTCTGTCCCAGCTGGGTGACTGAGGGCAGACAGGGCACCTGCATCATGTGGGCCTCAGATGTATACTGGGCAGAGATGACAAGGATCAAACACATAATACCATAGGCATCCATTCCCCAAGTCCTTCAAACATCTACTGAGCACCTATGAAGAGCACTTGGCATTAAAGAAAAAAGCCAACGAGTGTCAGTGTGTTCCTGTTCCAGTGGAGGGAGAGACCACAACTGAATGTCATCTGTCGGGGAGTGACGGGCACATGAAGTAGGGTAGGTAAGATGTGAGCACCAAGGGCTGGTTACTGGGTTGGGTACTGAGGAAGGCCTTACCAATTTGAGGTAATTTAGCCGAGACATACAGGAAAGGAACTGAGCCACTGTGGAGGAAGGAACAGTCCAAGAAAAGGGAACTGGATAGGCAAAGAGCCTGCAAGGCTAGTGTGGCTGCTGTGGTGTGAGGTAGGGTAGCAGGCAGGCGATGGAGCGGAAAGGCTGGATGGGTCAGACCACAGAAGGCCTTGGAGACTGTCATGACTCAGGATTTAGCCTGATAGAAATGAAGTCCTAAAAGGTTTCATGCAGAGGACAGATGCCATCTGGTCTATGCTTTGTAAAGATGGCCCCAACTATTTGTAGTGTATGGGTCCCTACATGGAAACAAAAGACCAGTTAGGAGCCTATAGACCACGGTGCTGGTACTGAATGTGATGAGAAGAGATTCAATGCTAGAAGAGACAGCGAGACAGAGACAAGACAGAGACTGCCCATCTATCCATCTGTACATCCAGCTCTAATAGGTGATTTTAAGCTTTCCTCTCACATAATTATTGCCTAATATGCACAGGTTATTTAGAGCCCACATAGGAAGGCAAAATCATTGATAACTGACTTCCATTCAAAACAAGACAGAGACTGCACCGTAATTAACTTTCACTTCCCTGAACATATATGGATAGTTAGCAAAAGCTGGCTCATGAGTTTTTAATGCTGTAACTTCAACTCTCAAACACTTAATAATTCCCTGTTGTGTATAAATACAATCATTAAGCCACCACACTATGAATTTAGGATTTTTTTGTTGTTGAGTCTGGGTCTTCGACTAGCCTTGAACTCCAGATCTTCCTGCTTCCAGCTCCCAAGTACTGAGATTACAGGTATGCACCATCAAGCCCAGAGTATTGCTTTTTATAATTAACACTTTCAAATAAATTCTATAGACTAGAATGCTTGTTTTCTCATTTTCCCATTTCCCCCCACCCATATTCTATTTTTGTGTATTTCATTTCTGTATTACACAAATAATTTGTGCTTACTGAGGAGAAAACTAGACATCAAAGAAACAGAGGGTGGTCAAAAAAGGAAAAAAAGCTGGGTACTTGAGCTTCAAACCTATAATCCTAGAGATCTGGAGGACTGTGGTTTAAAGCCAGACTGGGTAGAAAATTAAGGCACTATTTCCAAAATAACCACAAAGAGCCAAGCTGGAGGCATGGCTCAGGTGGAAGAGTACCATCTGTGTGCAAACAAGACAAGCAATGGCAAGGCCCCAAGTTCAAACTCCAACTAGCAGCAGCAGAAGAAATTCTAGTGGGCATACACCTATAATCCCAGCACAAGGGAGGCTGAAAAACAGGGAGGATTAAAAACAGACAAGCTGTCAGAGTGACAGGGAATATAGCGTCTGTAGGAGGTCAGGAAAAGTGTCCTGGAGAAGACAGACAGTTACATCTTGGCAGAGTAACAGTTACAGTCTCTGTGCGTCCTTCAGCAAAGGGCAGTCTGAATTTCCTCAGTGGTTCACAAACATTAGGAAACAAATATGCCCGGCAAACAAGGGAGCAGATTTGCATTATTTTTTTTCTCCAAAAGTTTGGGAAGGGAGTCTACAGGCGCTTCTCACCCGGCTCCTCTTCCTGAACAGCTGGACTAGCCTAGACCTCCCCTTTAACTCCCACACCAGCAAAGATAAGCTCATCTGCTGAGCATCTTAGTTAGTGGGGCCTCTCCAGAACTGTGGGTCCCCAACAGGTCAGTCATCCCTGAGCCTCAGAGCCCAGCCCAGCCACACCTGTCACCTAGCCCTACCACCACAACCTAGCCAGCCAAGACCTGGTCATCCCACTAAGCCCACTGCCCACGGGAATAGGAAGCCCTGCTTGCCAGGGACCAGTGCCTTTTCTCTGCCTACTAGGTCACCTTTCAAACAAAGCAAACCCTTAGCTTTGGCTCCTGAACAAACCAAAGAAAGGCAGCCTAGCCTAGCCAACTCAGCATGGCGCCAGAAGCGTAGGAGCACACAGGGCCATAGCACCCAGACTCTGGGCCCACAAGATGGCAAAGTGGCAGGCAATGGGACCGAATGTCACCCCTCAGGAGAGACAGGCTGGGTTTGCCAGAGAAAGCAATCACATGGACAGGCCTTGGGTGAGGAAGAAGTCTGGGTGCGTGGGCAGTGAGGAAGGCAGGCAGCTGTGATGGCTGGATACCTTTGCGGGCAGGAAATAGATCCTCCTGTCACTCCAGCAAGCTGCCCAGGCTAGAAGAAAAGCAGGTCCCATTGTCAGGGCCTTTCTAGAGTGAGGGGCATCTGGCCAGTGCAGGGCCATGTAAGCTCATTAGAACCTGGCAATGTGTGAAGGATGCTGGCCTGTTTATCTAAGGGGTGGACTGGATGAGAGATGCGGGACAGCTCGGCTCCAAGAGCTGGCTCCAGCCAAAAAGTAGATTTGGAGGCGCTTCTTGGACAGGATCACGGAAACACTGGGGAGAGAGGAGGGTGGGCCTTGCCCTGCCTGGTTACCACACATCCCTAACACCAGAGGCAGAAAGGGTGGAGTTCCATTGGGCTCAAGTCCTCAAATCTTTTTTTTTTTGGGGGGGGGGGAAGAGGTGCCAGTGCTGGGGCTTGAACTCAAAGCCAGGGCATCGTTTGAGCTTTTTCATTCAAAGTTGGCACTCTTATCACTTGAGTCACCAACTCTATTCCTTTTTTTGGTGGTTAATTGGAGATAAGACTCTGATAGACTTTCCTTCCCAGCCTGGCTTCGAACATTGATCCTCAAATCTCAGCTTCTTAAGTAGCTAGGATTACAAGCATAGCCATAGGCACCAAGATAGTCCCCTAATCTCAACCCTGTGAGTATAGGACAGGTCATGGGAAGCTAAAGGATTCCAGACTTAGAAATCTTCATTAAGTCATGCCCTGGTTGCTCATGCCTTTAATCCAAGCTGCTCAGGAGGCTGAGATCTGAGGATAACGGTTCAAAGCCAGCCTGGGCAGGAAAGTCTGTGAGATTCTTATTTCCAATTAACTACCAGAAAACCAGAAATGGCGCTGTGGCTCAAGTAGTAGAGCACTGGCCTTGAGCTGAAGAGCTGAGGGACAACACCCAGGCCCAGAGTCCAAGCCCCATGACTGACAAAAAAAAAAAAAAAAATTCACTAAAAAAAGAGACAAGGCCACCTACATTTCTGTGGGACTCAGAAAGATCAAGCAAACCTCTGAATTCACTTGTCACGTGATCACGGAGGGCTTAGATGCTGGGGACACAGAGACAGAGAGTGACAGTAAGGTAAAGAGCAGCTTTTTTGACAACGTTCACCCTTCCTAGCCTGAAATTTACTTCCCCTTTCTCTTCATTTCTTCGATGGCCTCACGGTCTTCCTTGGATGTCCCAGCTAAAGGTGATTCCTCCTTTCTTGGAATCCCAACAGCACTTACAATTTGTATTGCTTACTTCATGACTTCACAGTATTGTATGATCTGTTTATTCACTCAGGTTCAACTCATGTGCAACAGAGAGCACCCTTGCCTTTGAATAGCCTTGCCATGCATAGCCAAAGATATACAAACACAAAGATATACAAACAGCCAGGTGCTGGTGGCTCATGCCTATAATCCTAGCTACTCAAGAGGCTGAGATCTGAGGATCACAGTTCAAAGCCAGCCCGGGCAGGACAGTCCATGAGACTCTTATCTCCAATAAATCACTCGAAAACCAGAAGTGGTGCTGTAGCTCAAGCAGTAGAGTACTCGCCTTGAGCTGAAGAGTGCAAGGACAGTGCCCAGGCCCAGAGTTCAAGCCCCATGACCAACAACAACAACAAAAAAGATATACAAACAATACATTAGGGAGGGATGACTGGATAGTACCTGGAAAATGATTATTAGCATGTCTTTATTTGTTGGGAAGTTCAATCAATCAGAATCTCACAATAAGTGAAAGTGCTGGGCCGTTCAGTGGAGTTTAAATCCAA